AAGATTTTATTTATTTATTTGAGAGAGAGAGAATGAGAGTCAGAGAGCACGAGAGGGAAGAGGGTCAGAGGGAGAAGCAGACCCCCAGCTGAGCAGGGAGCCCGACGTGAGACTCGATCCCAGGACTCCAGGATCATGATCTGAGCCGAAGGCAGTTGCTTTACCAACTGAGCCACCCAGGCGCCCTAGGATTTTATAATGATTTTTAAAAAGATTCTCTAGGAACGCCTTTCTTTCTCCAAAGTAACACTGGGCAGCGCTTAACTCTTAAGCTGATTTGCCATGAATGCATTCTGTAGAACAGAGTCACTTTAGTCATAGGAGGTTTCACACAGTGGTGAAGTGAGACATTTACATTTCTTTCCCTTTTCCCCTCTCTCTTACCCTTATGTCTTCTGTGTTTTGAAATGTAGTCCTCATTAAAACAACAATGCAAAGAGTTTTTAAGAGTTTTGAAAGAGGCAAGAACCTCAAATCTCTGATTATAAATGACCTGGTTATAGAAGTGGAATTAGGTAGAAAAAGGGCAAAAGTTGGCGAAAGTATGAGAAATGGTCATGAAGTCAAAAACAGTGAAAATAACACTTTGAATGGAAGAAGGTTTTTGTAACTTGTTCCCATTCTGTTGGTTGGAAAGCCTCATTTGTAGCGAGGGGGGAAAAAACCTAAAACAAATGAGGTCTTGTTTCCAAATACAAATAAAACATTTATAGTAGCATTTAGTCCATTTAAAGGACATATCAGTGCTCAATAAAAATAGGTTAAGATGTTTGCATATACAATAATTCCATTAGGCAAGACTGTTTTCTTTCCCTCTTTGAGTGAAATAAGATATACAGGTTTGGCACTGCAACCCAGTGGATCCATATGTGCTTTCTACCTCCACTTCCAACATTATCTGAATCTTCATGCATTTCACCTTACCTGTTCTCCCTTTGTTCCATAAAGATGTATATATATCTTTATATAGTAAGTATATTTATATTTACATATGTAACATAAATGTACCTATAAATATATATGTATTAATATATGATGCATATTAACATAAAATACTTAAAATACATAATGTATACACAAACAATGCAGAATTGAATAATTTTGTACAAATAGTTTTGTGCTCATATGGATAAATTACAAGAAATGGAATCGGAAGTTTTTCTAATCTTTTTTTTATTAGTATATACTCTTAGTATATTTCTACTATGATTTAACCTTTTCTGGATGTTCAGTAATTGCACTGTACTGTAAATAGAGTGAAACCTTCAAACTCTGTTGCTCTGTGTTTTTGGTCCTGTGTGAACTGTAAAGAATGCTGCTTAAAAAAAAAATTAATGGTTACTTGTGTTCTGCCTGCTGTCCTATCTTGTTGGAAGTAGGTTGCATTTAGCAACCTTGCCTTTCACATTTGGGGAGCCAGATAGCAAATTCATTATCATTGAAATAATAAGTAGATTCTTAAGGGCATGAACTATAGTTCATGAGTCATCTCACGTGGCTGTGCAGAGAGCATATGGGCCCACGCATGATCACTTGAATTCTTCATGATTGGACTCGTCTAACAAGTGGCCTTCAGATAAGGGAGCTTTATGTTGATGTTATATTTTGACTGAGTCCTAATCAGTTACTACTTTGCTATGTTCCTTTTTTTTTCCTTTTTATACACTTTTTCAAAGAAAAAAATTTTTTACAGGAACAAAGCACTGCTTGAAAAACTATAGTGATGAAAAGATTTATTTTTAAAATGTCTTATTTCACAGCTCAAAGTTATGAAGTTTCAGGATGAATTGGAATCTGGAAAAAGACCTAAAAAACCAGGCCAGAGCTTTCAGGAGCAAGTAGAACACTACAGAGATAAACTTCTTCAACGAGTAAGGAATGAGTGTATTCAATAATATGCATTTTCCAAAGTTATTTGTTTGACTACTAGAATATTGGTGTATTGGTATACTTAAAGAAAAGTATGTCTCAAATTACACCCTTTCATGTGTAAATGCTGAATACTGGTAGACAATTGGGAACATTTGAAATTTGATGTTTTGCAATTATTTCAACTTGGAAAAGGGTCTTAGGGCAACAGCACACTTTTTTATTCTGGATATGCTACCTATGGACTAGAAAATCTGCTAAGACCATGCTTTCAAAACTGGAAGACCCCTTCTGTGAAGCTTCAACATTTGTGGCAATGAAACACCAGCAGCCCTCAGAAGTGGCACAAAGACAAAGATGGAGTTAGTTTGGGAAGTTCATTTAGGGCTCCTTTTCCACTGTTTCCAAAGAAGGGCACCAAGTGGTAGAATACCTCATCAGTGAATTCTAAGCCTCGTATTCTTTATGCATAAAAAATATGTAGCGATATACAGAGAATTTTAGAACACATGTTAATTTTTGGAAGAACCCAGGAATTTTATTGGGACTGCTATTAATTTTTACCTATATCTTGACTATCATTACAAAAAAGACTATACACACACACACACATTATATATATATATAGAGAGAGAGAAATAAGAACATGCTGGAACAGAAGTTAGAATCTCTAAAAGCTGTTAATGGCATAGTAATGGTGACGGGAGCAGCAGTATAGTCAGATAGCTTTGGCGCTGCACAGACCTGTGCGTTCCTGGTGCCGCCCTTCGCTCTTTTCTCCTAGGCGAATCACTGGATCCTGCTTTTCTTCGTGAAACTGGGTCGATAGTCCCAATTTTGCAGGATTGTGAGATAATAGCTACTATTACTCTTTTATTGGATTAAATTGTTTAAAATATTTTGAGTATTTTAACTAGTTTGATTCCTATAAAATTATCAATCAGGAAAATATATCCTACAGATCACCAGAGGAAGATGGTGTCGTCTGCATTACCTTTTAAATCTATACTCTATATGTTGTATTTCAAAAAAAGAAAAATGAGATTTTAAAAAAGATGTATCTGTACTCCATGAGTCCCTTTGGAGTTGGTGGCAGGTATCTGATCTGCATGGAAGACTACACTTTGAGATACTCACTGGTCCTGATGGTTGTAATGCATGTAATATCATTTTAATCTCTTTGCATTCCATGATTGTAACTGGAGAGGAGGATGTGTTTCTTGAAGGTATATACTGAGGGTCAGGAGATTCATCACCTCACAGGCCATCACCTCATTTTAAATAAGCTTACTAGAACATAGCCATGTGCCTTCACTTAACGTATTATCGATAGTGGCTTTTGGACTATTGTGACAGAGTTGAATCCTGGGACAGAGACTGTATGTGGCCCACAGAACGGAAAATATTTATTGTCTGGTTGTTTACAGAACATTTCTGTTTGTAACTTCTGGTATAGGCTTTTTATCAGCCACCAGATAGCTTTCTTGATGAATACAAATCAGAGAAATTAAATTCCTGTTAATGAAGAGCTAAGTTGGCTTAGTGGGTTCATTTTCTGTAGCCACTCCCTTAAGTATATTATCAACAGAAATAATTTCAAGTGAGAAGTGGCGATTGTAGCAGTGGGAATATGTAGATAGGTCATCTTTCTGGTTTATATAATTGTATAGTCATGTAGTCAGTTTGTACTTTTATAAATTAGGATGTAAAATTTCCAATAAAAATGGTACTTGTTATTAGTAAGATTTTTTGATGGACGATTATTATGAATAACTATTTTTCCTTTTCAGCCTTGTGCTTTGGAGAGAGCTCTCTTTAGATTAAATCCACTTGCTATAGAATCGCTACTATTTTATTGTAGTTTAAGATAGGCCAGTGTATTGTTGGCTTTTTCCTTTTTTTTAAGTGGAGGGACAGAGGAAGTAGTTAAGAGCCCTGGCTCTACAGCCTGGACTCCAGTCCTGACTTCACCATCCAGTGTGACTGTGAGCATAGTACTTAACCTTTCTGAGTCTCATTTTTCATCTCTTGAATGAGGATAATAGTAGTATTCCTAAGGAATATTTGAAGTATTACATGCAGTGGTATATGGAAAGTTGTTTAGTAATTATTTGGTCTATGGTACGGACTTAGTAACTGGTATTACTATTATCACTCAGTATAAGTAGAAGAAATAACTAGGTTTCCTGGAAGAGTAGGTATTTTTTTTAAAAATGGCATTATACGTAGTGATTTAAAATATTGTTGCATAAATGAGATTAACCTAGATAGGTATTTTTTAATGACTAAATATTTTTTCTTTAAAAAAATAAAACAGGAAAAAGAGAAGGAATTAGAAAGAGAACGAGAAAGAGATAAAAAGGATAAAGAAAAATTGGAATCTCGATCTAAAGACAAGAAGGAAAAAGATGAATGTACTCCAACAAGGAAAGAAAGGTATACATTTCTCATTTAAATGCCTATACTGCTTTTTGAACACTAAATCAAAAACTAATAATGTATACTATATGTTGGCTAACTCAGGTAGTACTAGTACTAGTAATAGTAATAATAAAAGATAAAAAATAAATGACATTACTGTGTGCCACCCCCCAAATAAAGTTTTGGAATGTTTCATTTTGTAATGTTTTCATCACTGATGCCAACAAACTTGAAAAGTATTTTTTCATGATAAACATGTTTGGCTCCTGCCTGTAGGAGGCAGAATTAACTGAGAAATGGGGCACTTAGTTGGCACTTGGCTTAGTTAATTGGGACATCATCCCATTGCATGGTTCAAATGATACCTTAGCCTTAGTTAAGTGCAAGAATTCAGTTACCATATTAGGTATCAAACCTAAGGTTTAAATAACTAAACAGGCTTGCTACATCTTCCTTGTTGCCTTTGGTATAAGCTTTTCTTCTCTGCTGAGACTGCTGCCTTTGTAAACTTGAGTCTCCCATTCCTGTCTAAAAGGAGTTTGTGTACATAGGCCATAGGGACTCACTCCTCACTTTAAGTCTTCATTCTAATCAAAATCATTTCTCTCTTAGTTTTTATTTTACTTTCACAGTTCCTAAATCTCTCATTTAATAGAGAAAATTGCTTTAGTTAACGAAGATTTTCCTAATATCCAAGTGAATGCAAATAAAAAAATTCTGGCTTAGTTAACTCTACAGGTAATTACAAATAACATAGGTATACTAATTGGTTAAATGCTAAATTTACCACTTGTTTGTCTTGTATTTATTATTTTGATATACTTTCAGATTTATAGAAAAGTTGCAAAGATAGTATAAAAAATTCCCAGATATCTTCCACCCACATTCTCCAAATGTTGAAATATTTCTACTTTTGCTTAATTTTTCCCCCCTTCCTTTGCCCTCCTCCCAACCATTTAAGAGTAACTTGCCAACATGATGCCCCATTTTCTTATATAAGCACAATAAAAGTTTCAAGATTGGAGGATTAACATTAAATACTGTTACCTAACCAGAGACCTTAATGAGATTTTATCCATTGTCCCGATCTCTTACAGCAAAAGAAAATCCAATTTAGTTGACTTCAGTTTTTGTTTTGATCAACCTATCTTTAAGACTTTCTTGTTCTTTATAAAGGGCTTTGAATGTTGTTGGAAACTAACATTAACAAGGTTAGTGAAAATAAAGTTAGTGTAAACTGATAGGAATTAATAGCTGATTCAGTAGAAGGAAAATGAATACCTGATCCTTTGCTCACTTATGGAATATTTTGGGGGCTTTGTTCCGTAGGAAAAGGCGACACAGCACATCCCCTAGCCCGTCTCGCAGTAGCAGTGGTAGACGAGTGAAATCCCCTTCACCCAAATCGGAGCGATCAGAGCGTTCAGAAAGATCTCATAAAGAGAGCTCACGATCCAGGTCATCTCACAAAGATTCTCCTAGAGATGTTAGCAAAAAGGCCAAAAGGTAAATGCAAGTTATTTTTTTGTAATATTTCAAATGCCAGTTTCCTTGTCATTTCACCAGCTTTTGAAAATAATTTGGCTGGCAACCATTTTTTAAAGGGCTTTAGAATACCAGAGAAGTATACTTTCATTTTAGATTATTCCTTCCCACCTCCCCACCCCAGTCTCCTCATGACTAAAGCACAAGAAGGCTTCCAACAAGTAAAGACCAGCCAAGAATTTTAAACATTATATCCAGTGTTTTCTGTGGACTAGGGGTAGCTGCTTTACTTTTCATTCTGTTCTTCAGTTTCTATAAAATATTCTTTGATTTTGTCAAGGCTGAAAGGAGAATACTTTACCCCCTCCCTCCTGCCCCTGCATCTTATTAGCAAGTTCTTGGGTAGAGATTTGTGGAAATAAATACCATTCTTCAGTGGGTAATTTAAATGTGTGTTATATACTTTTTTTCCTTGTAGTTCCAGAAAAGTGGTTAAGAAATGTTTTATTCATCTGGTGTTACATAGTGGAATTTTCCTGAGAACTAAAACTGCTTTATATCCTAAAAATTTATTTTTGTGACCATTTTTAGTAAAATTTTTATAAAAGATAAGTTTTTTCCTTTTCTAAATGGCACTTGCATATATATAAAGTGTATTTATTTGTTTTGGTAATCTTCATGAACTGCACTTACAAAATTATGGTATCTTAAATGATTCCCTTGAATGATATGCAGTAGTTGGTGCTTTTTCCTTCAAGAAGATAGGTTGTAACACTTTTCAAAAATTTTGTGAATGATCTTAGATGCCATTTTGAACTTTATCTTGCAGATTTAGAGGTTCAGACTAAGGGATCTATCAGTAACCTGGGGAACTTGTTAAAATTGCAAATTCCCAGTCCCTGCTTCTTGGGATTTTGATTAAATAGAGCAGTGGTAGGGCTCAGGAATCAGTCTTTTTAAGCAAGCACACCGCTCATAATCATTGATGCAGTGCACAGAAGGTGCAAAATTACGTGTGTGTGTGTGTAAAGTAGGCAAAATATGAATTTGGGAAGTTTACAGCCTTTTTTATTTCTGACTTTCATTGTGCTCTGTTAAAGATCATTTTAGGTAATTGAAGGATGGTCCATTTTGATCATATGAGTGCTTTGATAAATTGTTTGTTTGTTTCCTCAGATCACCATCTGGTTCGAGGACACCTAAAAGGTCTAGGCGATCACGGTCTAGATCCCCTAAAAAGTCAGGGAAGAAATCCAGATCCCAGTCCCGATCTCCACACAGGTCTCATAAAAAGTCAAAGAAAAACAAACACTGACATAAATTTTTAAGATGCTGTCACTTATTGGAAATGCAATTTTGTTTTGTGCCTGAATGGTCTGTTTTTTTAAAAAAAGAAAACAACAAAAAATCAAATGAAAGAGCATTCCTGGATTTTTTGTTTTTTTGTTTGTGAATGCATGTGTAAACTCATGAGTAACTGCATCTGTAGACCTGTCATTGTTTTATATTGTATAAATTACTTTCGTTGTGGCTGTTTCTCAAGATGAAATTTTTATTGTGCTAATGAATTTCATCAGAAATGTGTATAATGGATCTGCTGGCAGTAGTAGTATTTTGTTTTAGGATGTTGTGACTTAGCAAAAATAATACAGATGTCTTCGCCCCTTTTGTAGCTTTGACAATTTGAATTAGATTTCAAATAAAATCTGAACAGAAAACTATAATGTTGTTTTTTTGCCCTATTGGTGACATCAAGTCCCTTAAAGTTCTACCAAGTGAGTTTAGCACTTCTGTTGTTTCTTATACTTAATGCACTTTATAAGCTCCACTGGTCAAGTAGCTAAAGTTTTGTATTTACTAAGATGACTATCAAAATTAAGGGACCTAAGACTCCTATTTGGTAGGTTTGCCAACCAACTTCTTCGATGAGGTTATCTTGGGTAATACTAGTCCCCAAAGATCAAAAGACTAGGGAAAGGTGGCATGGTCTTTTTTGTTAATGGAATGCCTGGCTAAAATATTTTTTCTTTTATCAAAGAAACAGTATGATTTCAGTGTACTCAGCTTGTATGTCCTGAGCAACTACTTTTTTTTAGGGACAAATTAAATCTCCATCTTTTGATTTCATCTTCTATCATGAAAGAAGTTTATTTATAAAATAAATTTTCTAACAAGAGTTGGCCATAGAAGTTTTTTGTATGATAATTGCCCTTTTATAGCCCCCTGTAGGTTATCTTTCAAACATTGGTATCAGTATATTTCTGCAGAGTTCTTTTTAAAGCACCTTAGGTTTTTGTTTTTTGTTTTGTTTTGTTTTTTTTTTTTAGAATTGAGTTTTAGGTTTATCTTTAAGTAAAGCTTAAAAGTAAAATAGTTTTCAGGAAACTTAACATCCGGTAGTTTGTAAATTCAAGGTGCAAAAAGTTGATTTAAACGATTTGCCTAGTTAAAATCTGTTATACAATGGGAATAAAATTGTTGCAGTATGAGGAAGAAATAAGGAAACTTGTATAATGTTGATCATAATATTGCTATCAGTATAATGTAATAAAGGGTTATGTAGACTTGAATGGACACTACTATTTGTGAATCTTTCAGTTTTTCTGGACACTTTATGCAGTGGTTTGATGGTTTTTGTTTTTGTTTTTCCCTTAATAGAGAGCATAGAAAACCATTCTAATATGGATTGTTTTGAGTTACCTTTTTAAAACTATATTTTCAAGTTGTTTTATTTAATGCTGCCTAGTTACAAATAAAATAAGCTGTACTGATAATTTGGGGAGTAGGTATATTAGCTGGCAGTGAGGTGTGCTATTTCCAAACTGGGCAAACCTATAGCATCTTTACAAATGAGCCAGTCCGATTATTTGACTTAATGGTTCTTACCAACATGCAATATTTCTTGAAAGTTATTCCCTTATTGTTCACTCTTTTGTTTGTCCATAATGTTAGGGAATGTTAATTCCTAAATGTTGCTCAGAATAATTAAACATGAACATTTGGTGCTGGTTTCTAAAAACCTACAGATACAGCCATTTTTAAAAACCTACAGATATAGCCATTTTTAAAGTAACGTGTTTTTTCTCCCCTGTTCATTGCCTGGGGGGGAGGGAATTTTATGTATTACCTTTTTTTGCAAAAATAACAGTAATGTTGAGTTCCTGGTGATTTGGGCATTCCATCATTATTTGGTATCTAGTATAGGCTTAGAAATAATTGGACAGGAAATGATTTTTGCAGTCAAATTACAAGGAATGCTTATTTCCCTCTCTTTAAAAAAAAATATCCTGAAGAAGGAGGAGTGAATAGAAATTGTTAGGTCAGTTTGGGGCTCTTATTTGTATTTTTCCTACTGCAGTGGAATTTAGCAGTTCTTTTAATGTGGATCCACATACAACGAATATCTTACGGAGGGTAAGACTGGCTTCCTTTTGGGTGGGTGGGTGGGGATTGCTTAGGGTTGATAGAATATGTGTTCTGTAAAGTTTACTAATGTGTGTATTAGATTGTATTGGATTTTTTTTTCCTGGAATTGCAAACGGTTATTTCCAATTTTACTTAATGAGGAAATATCTAGAGTAAGCCTGTTTAATTCTTCATGGATTCTATGAAAGTTTAACAGGATCAGAAATTGGTGAATTCTAAGGAGGGAGATACTTTACCATTTTTTTTTAAATAACATATTATTCATGTTCCGCATCTAAAGAACACTTGATTAGATAGCAGAATTTCTACAGGTTGACTAAAATGTTCATAGGGTGACTTTCTAGTTAGAGGAAATACCCCCTTCCAGCTCTGTAATAGACGGTTATTATGCTCTACCATAACTACAAGTAAGACGAAATCCTCTGTTACCTACTCTTCTCATAAAGGGTGTGGCTTAAACTCTTTACCCTCTATCCTAACATTTATACACAAGGATTTCTTAACAGGTTAATACCATTTAATCTCCTCCTACACTGAGAGAAAGTAAATAAATGGTGGTCTATTTCTTGCCAAAGAGAGACCTATGATTGAAAAGGATCATGTTTGTGTATCTTTTCTTTGACATTGTATTTCCTTATTACCATTAGTTAAGCATATGGGCATTTCTAAATTGTAATATGTTGAGAAGTTAGAGATTAAAGAACTAAAACAACAAAAAACCCTGACCCAAAAGAATGCTTTTATGATGCTCAGAATGTTCTCGGCTTTTCTGCTAAAGTTTGCAGAAACCACTAGACACTGACCTAATTTTTCTTTATTGCAGACCATTCCTGTGAGCTAACCCTGAGACTTTTATCCCAATTAAAGAATCTTAGAAGAAATATTTGCTTATGACTTCTGTATTTTTTCCCCAGATTTTAATAGTCTTGAAAATATTTTTAAGAAGTTCCAATCATGATTTAATTTAAGTTTATTAGACATGTTCTCTACACGTTTGCCTTTGCGATCACATAAATTCTGAGATTATGTGGCCGTGATAATAGCCTATCATTATGATTATTAGAAAATGAGAGCAAATAAATCCCTGTATTGCCAAAGTGACTTAAGCTATTCTGATGACCACAACAGTGTGATTTCTTCAACAGAGAAGGTTGTTTTTAAAAATAAATAGTACCACTTTTCTAAGACTGTACATTTACGAAATATGAGCTTTTTTCTTTGTTGTTTTCCTTTTATACTTTAATGGAAAAGCAAATCACAGAAAATTCAGTTCAGATAGTAATGAAGACGCTAGTCTAAGTTTAAAAGAACACGTGACTAAAAACTCACAAAGTGCTTGCTTTCTTCCTATTTCACAAGCAGGTTTTAGACAGATTGTCGGGGGTAATTTGTTGCCCTTTTGGCCTTTTTTCTTCATTTTTGGTATAAACTTCCCAGGACTTAGATAAGCCACAAATGCAGATCCCAGGGGAAGTGTTGTGATGATAGACTAAAAGGTGGGAATGTGCTGCTGTTGGGAGCGAGCCATGTTCCATTGTTGAAAATTCAATGCCTCAGTGTTTGTTCAGTACCACCTCACGGAGCTTCGGTGTAAATGGATTATGTGTATAATTGGTTATTTATATAGTTTTGTAGCTCTATAGATAAAATGCCCTCATTCATTTTCACATGTAATTGTGCTCGGCGTATTTGTTTTATCCTTTTACTTCAACAGGCTCTTGTACGTTACATCTTTGGTGATTTGAAATATCAGGAAAGACAATTTTTTCAGGAATGAGAATAATATAGTTGAAATCAGCTCAGCTGAAATACTTTACAGCAAGACAATTTCTTTTGGGTGAACTGATTCCATAATTTAGTTACTCTTGATGTAAGGATTAAGTTTATTGTGGAGCTGCTTTCCAGACTGTCACTTTATAGTTTTTCTACATAAAGATTATATAGTTGCAAAGGTTGTGGAATTTCCCTTTTGTTGTTGTTTTTTGACTTTTAATTACTTTAATAAAAATACGTTGTTTTCATAGCAAACTTTAGCCTGTTCATGTAATTTTCTCCATGTAGTTTTTCTAATGCAAGCCCAGTAAACCGTGTCTGGTTTTCAGCAGCTTTCTCTCAAGTGAAATAAGTGATGTGTCACATTTATCAGTTGTAGTTAAAATGTTACATTTTCTATGTTTAAACTCTAATAAAATATTTTCATGATAGATGATTCTCTTGATTAGGAAATTTTATTATTGGTTTCCCCTTTTTTAAAGGATTACTTTGTTCCATCTTATTTCATTGGGGAAGATTTAAACACAAAAAAAGTAGAATGAACATCCCAAATGACTATCACCTTGCACGTATGTATCTCCAAATGTTTCATTTTTTAAACCTAACATAACCACAATATCATTATTACATTAAAAATAATCCATTGGTTTCTTTTAAAATTTAAAAATTTTTAATTGTGGTAAAATACTCATAACAAAATTGACCATCTTAGCCATTTTTAGGTGTATAATCCAGTAGGGTTAAGTGTGTTCACATTGTGCAACCAGTCTCCAGAACTTTTCATTTTACAAAATTGAAACTGTAACAATTAAGCAACTCCTCATCTCCCCACCCCCAACTATTTTACTTTTTATTTCTGGGAGTTTGACTATTCCAGATAAGGAAGTGGACTCATACAGTGTTGGTCTTTTTGTGCCTGGCATAATTCACTTAGCATAATGTCCTCCACGTTCATCCATGTGGTAGCATGTGCACTCGTTCTTTTTTAAAACCTACTTTTTCTTTAAAGTTTCTCTATTTCCTTTCAGAATTTGAAAAGGATTTTCCCCAAATGGCACATTAGCATTTTCTATTTTGAGTAAAAACTTCAAAAGAAAACAATGTAATACCAAGTACATATGCCAACTACTCCACATCACTTTTTGTTACCATTTTTACCACTTTCTATGCTGTGTCCTCTTTTAATGGTTATGTGTAATTTCACATCAACATTTCATAGCACGGGGTACAAAGTATACTTTCAAAGCAAGCTATGTGATTTTGAAATTGTATTAATATATATGTGACCATACTCATGCCTTTTTTTTTTAAAGATTTTATTTATTTGACAGAGAGACACAGCGAGAGAGGGAACACAAGCAGGGGGAGTGAGAGAGGGAGAAGCAGGCCTCCCGCCGAGCGGGGAGCCCGATGCGGGGCTCGATCCCAGGACCCCAGGATCATGACTCGAGCCAAAGGCAGTCGCTTAACGACTGAGCCACCCAGGCGCCCCAATGCCTTTTTTTTTTTTTTAAGTTATTGC